TGTGTGTGTATGTATGTTCAACGCTCGTCCTGCAGTGCCACACATTTCAGCTTCCTCACCTACTGAGAAATTAACAACTTTTTCCATCTCAGAAGAGGTACACAAATAAATGGGTTGGTTTTTTTTTGTTTCTGTCTGGCTTCTGTTCTGTTCCGTTCTGTATTTCTATTCTATTCTGCATTTCTGTTCTATTCTATTCTGAATTCTATTCTGTTCTGCATTTCTATTCTATTCTATTTTGTTCTATTCTACATTTCTATTCTATTCTATTCTTAATATATTCTAATTTCTATTCCATTCTATTCCATTCTATTCTATTCTATTCTTAATAGATTCTATTCTATTCTACTCTGAATTCTACTTTGAATTCTATTCTATTCTAAATTCATATTCTACTCTATTCTGTTCTGAATTCTACTCTATTGCTATTGCCATCTCTATTCTAACTCTTAACTCTAACCTAATTCGAATTCCCTATGCTATTCCATGCATGACATGCCATCCTATCCTATCTTATCCTATGCTATCCTGTAATCTCAAATTTCAAGTTTTGTGAGCTGCATCGACCCAGGTGTTCAGAATCATTTCCAAGTTCCTTTTATTTCAAGAGGAGAGTGTTAGGAATGTGTTTAAAATAGGGTTCAGGAGACACTCTGGACCAAGGAATGGCACTTACGTTTGTCTTAATCGCCCTCTTTACTTTCTGCAAACAGAACAGAAAGATGAAGTTGGCATAAGGAATATGTGACAAAGGCCTAGGCTAGAAAGAAAAACGCAACGTTCCACGAAAGTGCAAAAGGCAAATTCCCTTCCAGTGCAAGATTTTTTTTTAATTTCTTTCTTTCTTTTTTAAAGAACAATCACCTTACATGGAAATATGTCTGGCAGTGCTGGTTACAGACCTGGTTACAGACCTCCGGACAATCCAAGCGTATGAAAAAATTAAAACAAGAACCTTTATGAAGGAAACCCTCCCCATCCTCTCTCACATTAAACTCTCATTTAAAAAAAAAAGTCGTCCTCCTTTCCTGTTAGGGTTGCTTAATGTCAGAAGCCCCAAATAATCACAAATATTTAAAAAGGGGAGGGGGAGAGAGGGAAAAGGGGGGGGGGAGAAAGAACCAGATATTTTTTTTAAAAAAGGATTAAGGGAGATTAAAACACACACACAATTACTCATGTTTTATCAGGATTCGTAGGTATACAAATGGGGTGGGAGGTATAGAAACATGATCCACAGATAAATAAATAAAAATTTGCTGTGCTTTACAATTATTTCAGATCGTTCCTCTAATCAGCGCTAATTCGTTCTGTCTCTCTATCTCTTTTTCTCTCCCTCCCTCCCTATTTCTCTTGCCGTCTCATCTTTTTTCTCTCTCCCTAATTTCTCTCTCTCCCTTATCTCTTTCTCCCTCTCCCTCTCTATCTCCTTCTCTCTCTCTCTCCTCTCTAACTTCTCTCTGTTCCTCTTTAATTTCTCTCTCTCTTATCTCTTTCTCTCTCTGTCTATCTCTCTTGCTGTCTCTCTCTCTAACTTTTCTCTATCCCTTTAATTTCTCTCTCCCTCCCTCTCTTATCACTTTTCCCTCTCTCCTAACTTCTCTCTCTGTTCCTCTTTAATTTCTCTCTCATCTTTCTCCCTCTGTCTATCTCTCTTGTTGTCTCTCTCTCTCTCCTAACTTCTCTCTGTGTCCCTTTAATTTCTCCCTCTCTCATCACTTTCTCCCTGTCTATCTCTCTCCCTGTCTCTCTCTCTAACTTTTCTCTCCCCCTAATTTCTCTCTCTCTCCCTCTATTCTCTCTCTCTCCTTCTCTCCCTATCTCTCTCTCCCTCTCCCTCTATAACCTCTCTCTCTCCTCTTTCTCCCTCTCTCCCTCCCTATCTATCGCACGGCCTCTCTCTTCATTCTTTTATTAAATCCATGCATTTTTGCACCGATTTTTTTCCCCTACTTGCTTTCGTCAACAGTGTGTATTTGTTTGCTTTAGAGGATACAAAAATGAAAGGAAAGTGTATTTTATAAAAGATAACCAAGCTGTATTCCCAGGCAGAGGCTCTGATCTGACATTACACACTGGTAAACAAATTGGATTTCTTTCCATTCCGGTCCTCATAGGCTAACACTTCCAACAAATGAAAAAGAGCACAGGAGGCCTTGTCTTTGGGTTGAATCACAGACACACACACAGACACACACACAAAACCTAAAGAGAGTAGGAGTTCAATGATTCCTTTATGCAACCCCAACGGCACAGAACATGTTGTTGGAAGGGCCTTGATGACACAATATTAAGACAAGTCTACTTGTAGTTTAAGAAAAACCACAGCCACCACAACAGAAGTGCTTATTTAAAAGGGTAATCAGAATGTAAGGCTCAGCTTTTGAGGAGAGGCGTGTCAATCATGGTGCCTCTTCATGATCAGATGTCCATGGAGATTCTCAGTCCTCCAGGCCATGGTTGTCCCAAAGGTGCTTTTTCAAGAGGCAACTGGACTTTCTGGGGTTTTTTCTTTGAAGATGTCTCACTTTGAAGAAGCTTCTTCGGCTCTGACTGGATGATGGGGAATGGAAGGATTTATACTCCTTGCAGACAGTGCTGGTCGTTTGCATCCTTCTAGAGAGTTATTGAGGCCACTTGGAGGTTTATCTGTGTCATCGGGGTCACCTCAGTGGCGCCCATGTTCCTGTAGTCTGCCATTTTTCTCTACAAATCCATTCATACTCCTACACCATTGGAAAGATGTTCATCCCAAACCTCCAAGTGGCCTCAATGACTCTCTAAACAGGAGGCAAATGACCAGCTGTCTGCAAGGAGCACAAATCCTTCCATTCCCCACTATCCAGTCAGAGCCGAAGAAGCTTCTTGGATGAGAAGCGAAACGTCTTCAAAGAAAAAAAAAACAGAAACTCCAGTTGCCTCTTGAAAAAAAAGGCACCTTTGGGGACTTCATGATCAGATTTTATAATAGGTTATTATAGCAGAGTCTCCTCAGCTTTAAGGCTCGCGGACTTCAACTCCCAGAATCCCCCAGACAGCCATGCTCAATCCTGGGAGTTGAAGTCCGCAAGTCTTAAAGTGAACAAGGTTGGAGTCTCCTAATTCATAGGAAACTACAGTTTAGTTTAGTTTAGTTTATTGTCATTGCACCTCGTAAAACGAACTCAAACACCATCTTCAGTGCACATCATGACCATGAAAATAAACACAAACACAATATCCTTCACCCTCCACGCATTGAATTGAAAACCCCCAATATTGCATGAATATTGCACTATACAGTAGAATTCAACAGAGTTACTTCCCTGGGATAGAAGCTGGTTTTCGGCCTATTTGTCCTTGTTTTTATTATTATCCTGTACCGTCAGCCAGATGGTAATAGTTCCAAAAAAAGGGGTGCCCAAGATGAGATGGATCTTTGAGGATGTTTTGAACTTTCTTAAGGCAGCGGGAGCTATGAAGCTCTTCCAAAGAGGGGAGAGGGCAACCCATGATCCTCAGGGCAATGACAGTTAACCCTCTGGAGCGCTGTCCTGTCTGCCACTGTGCAATTGGCACACCATACACAGGTGCGGTAAGTGATGGTGCAGCGGTAGAAGGTCACCAGCAGTTTCTCATTCAGTTGTTGTTTCCTGAGAAGCCTCAGGTAATATAATCTCTGCTGGGCCCTTTTGACCAGGGCTGCAATGTGAGCAGATCCTGTCCTCTTTGAGGGTAACACCCATACAAGTTTCCTACTTACAACCATGCATTTAGTGGCCATTCAGTGTTATAACAGCACTGGGAAAAGTAACTTATGCGCCACACATGCCCTCCCCAAACTCCGTTTTCACTGGCAGTAGGGCTGCAGGAGGCTGTCGCAGATGAAAACAGAGTCTTGATGAGTGACATTGAGCTGGCAATGCGTCCTGGCCATGCCCCCGCTCCCAGCCCCCAAAGCTCAAACACAACCCTGATGCGGCCGTCAATGATATCAAATTTGACACCCCTGTTCTAGAATCATCATCCTTTAAAAGATAAGCTTTTACACACACAACAATTGAAGGGGGAAAAAAACCAACCTAAAATGAAACAACAGGTAACAAGTGAACCTACCCTTTGAGAAGCTACGGACTCACAAAAATCTATATTGAAAGGGGTATTTATGTTTTTCAGTTGTTATGAGATTTGGCTAGTAATCCTCTCCCTCCAAACTGGGATCGTCTCCATGTCTGTGGACTTCATCTCCCAGAATTCCCCTGCCCATGTGGCCATCGCAGGAACCACCTTTGCTGGGGCCACCTGTTGAACATGACTTCTGGCCATAGTTTGTTGAGCAAGCCAGAATGTCTTTGTTCTAATACTGGCTTAAGCCCTAGAACACACTTTATAAATCACCATGGCTGGGTCCAGCACAACTGGATGTGGCAACACAGCCACTGAAAGACCTCAAGAGAACTTTTGTGGACATCTCTAGAGGAGGAGTCTCCAACCTTGGCCACTTTAAGACTTGTGGACTTCCACTCCAAGGGTTGAACAGGAAAAGGAAAAGGAAGAGGAGGAGTAGAGAAGAAGGAAGAGGAGAAGAGGAGGAGGAGGAGAGGAGGAAGAGGAGAACGAGACAGAGGAGGAGAAGAGGAGGAAAAGGAGAAGAAGAAGAGGAGGAGGAGGAAGAGGAGACAGAGGAGGAGGAGGAAGAGGAGGAGGAGAAGAGGAGGACAAGGTAGAGGAAGAGGAGGAGAAAGAAGGAGAAAATAGATGGACAGAGGATAGGGAATTCTGGGAGTTGAAGTCCACAAGTCTTAAAGTGGCCAAGGTTGGAGACCTCTGCTCTAGAAAGCTACACCCTAGGTGTGGAACTGTATATTGTGCATGGGAAGGACAGCTAACTAAGCAGGTTTTTTTTAAAAAAATCAAATTATAATGATGGATATGGTTACACTACAAGGAAATGAAGAGGGATCTCAGAGCATCAAAGATTGTCTTAATAAAAAGAGGGCACTTGGATAAGAAGTGGCCATGGCTATAAGTCAAGAAGACGTTCTTCACAGCTCTCCAGGGGCCATTTTGTGGCACCGCCAAACACATCCACGTTATTGTCGACCCACGGAATGATATTGCCGGGCATGTTGATGGAGCAATTGGCAATCTTCATAATATCGTCCGGCTTTAAGACTCTGTCCCAGATATTGAACTGGCTCATTTCTCCAACAAACGCTTGGGTGGCGTCAAACCTTCCTCCAACGGTGTCCTTCAAGAGAAATGAAAGCAAACCATCTGTTAGGACCAAGCAAATGTGTTCTTTTGCTTAAAAGAAGAATGAGTGAAAATCCTGAAAAAGGCAACTTCTCCAACTTCCAAGTATCTAAAATAAAACCAGCAACAACCTCCAAAACTGAGAAGATCATCAAATCTCATGAGGCTTTGGAAATGTTACTTTGAAGTCAATCTGCGAGTTCCTAGAGGCAATCTTGCATGATGGAAACGTCCATAATCAGATACATCCTGTGATGGCGTGGCACAAAGGCAACACAGTCAAATAAGCAATAAGAGTCCCTTTATTATTTCCAACTTGGCCCCCAATGTTCAGGTTACTTTCGTCTGGAGAAAAACTCTCCCAGGAACAGCCTTTAACTGGAGATAATTCAGTCCATAACAAGGTGTAAGAAAACCGCAACTAAAACTCCACACAAACCAAGCTGAAGTAATTAACTTGACAGGGCAGGAGAAGGAACTTCAGACTTGAAAACATGGCAAAGCTCACACAGTTGGGAAGACACCAGGAACACAGATAAGCCACGATGATACAAGATAAAATCATGTTTGCTCCCAACAGCTTGCCGCATGCAGCTTCCTTTTTTATACATTGCGTTCCCAGCTGCAGCTAATGAAGGGAATCAGGGCCCTTTCCTCCCCCATAAGCCATGCAACCCACATTGCTCCCTTCTCCGTTCCTCCCTGCGGTGCCCTAGGATGAAGAGGGGGTGGGCCTGGGTCTTCCTCTGAATTCCCTCTCCCTTGCTCTACCTTTCTCTTGCTCTGCCCAGCCAGACTTTGCCCTTCCCCAGTTTCCTCCACAGCCAACGGAGCCACACTCCCTGTCAGCTGTTCAGCTTCCCCCTCTGAGTCAGATTCTGACAGGGGCATGATACATTCTCTTCTCTTCCAGTCCTCTCTTTTCTGAAATCCCAGCCTTTTTAGCCAGATCTTTGGACATCCTCTTCTCCTTCAAAGAGAAGATCCTGCTAGAAGACATACATGGAGATCTACAGGTAGATCCCTCCGCACTTTGCAATGGACCCCTCAGGCATTTCTGATTCCCAGCTTGTTCAGTCACAACAGCATCTAAGTCAGAGGGTAATTTGTAATGCATACACCCATAAAACAGGATATTTGTAACTTTTGGGTTGAACGGTGGAGTTCTTGGTGGTTTTCTTGCAAATGTTTTATCACCCAACTAGGTAGCATTATCAGTGCTGGAAGGGAGTGGGGTTTGTGGAGAGGAGGAGGAGGAAGAGGAAGAGGAGGAGGAGGAGGAAGAAGAGGAGGACTGTGGGGTCCTGTTTGCTCTCTGAGCTTAACTGTTTTTCTTGCTTGATTGTCTCATTACCCAACTAGGTAACATCATCAGTGCGAGAAGGGAATGAGTTTTGCTCTCTATTCATTATCTCTCCTAACACCGATAAGGTTATCTAGTTAAGCAATGAAAAACGTCTGCCAGAAAAAAAAACCAAGCTCAGGGAGCACGAAGGATCATGTTATTGCACACATAAATTATAAATGAAAAATAAATGAGAGGCAGCCAAAGAAGACGGGGAAGGAAAAGCAACGTTCCTGTTCAGTGCTGATCCTCCGACGCATTCTTCTATTTATTTATTCTTCTTATTTTGCATCAGAGTCAGCTGCAGATCCCAGGATTTCGTTTTAAAAACCAAAAGAAACAAAACCCAAAAACCAGAGCGGAACCCACGCCAAACGATCTGCTGCGGCTCACCTGTTCCTGTCCAAGGATCAAAACCCCTCCGGGTTTAATGGGATGCCACGGGGCTAAATTTTCTCCGGTGCCCAATTTCTCTCCATCCTGAAAAGCCTCCCACATCCCGTCTCTGGTGGTCCAGGTGATGCAGATGTGGTGCCACTTTCCATCGCTGATGAAGAGGGGAAGTTGAGCCACCTTGGCAAAGAAAATCAAAGCAAACATTGTGATACTTTTATTATTATTACTTGTAGTAGTAGTCGTAGTCGTAGTAGCAGTAGTAATATTTAATCTTTAGTGAGATTCACAGCCTTTGGGGCTGGTTGGTAGCTCAACAGCTCGAGTCCTAACCAAGGACCTAGGAACTGTTCAGCTAGCATTGGAGGATATAAGCTGTTCCAAGTAGGGTGGTTTCTTGTAAAATCAGGGTATTCAAGTCTGATAAATTCAGAATTTCCCAACTAGCAAGGTAGCTTTTTAGGTCTTGCTCTAAGGGCTCCCATCACAATTGGGATAACACATGAGTTCTTTTTCCAAAGACGTTCAACTTCAGTTTGTAAGTCCCGATACGTTGTGATTTTTTTCTTGCTGCATGTCTACAATTCGTGCAACACCAGGTGTTGCAGTGTCAATGAACCAACCCTTTTTCTTTTCCACTATTGTTATGTCAGGTGTGTTGTGGGCCAAGTGCCTGTCCGTCTGAATTCTGAAGTCCCATAAGATCTTGACTTTTTCATTCTCCAGAACCTTCTCAACCTGATGTTCCCAGGAGTTGTTACTATACTCAAATCCAACCTTTTGGCACAGTTTCGAGTGAATGATTTTAGCAACTCGGTTATGGCGTTCTGGGTAGTCAGTTTGTGAAATTTTGCTGAATCCACTGATTAAATGGTCAACTGTTTCATCTTTCTTATTACAGAGGCAGCATTTGCTGTTGGTAGTGACATTATTATTATTATTATTATTATTATTATTATTATTATTATTATTATTATTATTATTATTGGAAATTTTGCATCTCTTGAATAGGAGAGGCTGGGTGATTGAAATCACATCCTGTACCTGCACTTTGCTGAAATCCTGAGCAAAAGGAAGGTGCACAATTGCAATTTCAGAACGAGGCATGTGTCACTTAGCAACTCACCTCCAACTCTCCTGGGGGATTCATTGTTTACGAGACACTCGTCACACTGTGTATTTTTCTCCTGCTTCCGTCTCACGACAACTTTTTGCGTCCTGACAAATATTTTGCTTTCAGCAAAACAACAGGCTGCCCGAATCATTGCTTCTGCTGAAATTATTCGGTTTTTGTTTGGGCCAACAAAACCCCAAATGAATGAATGGGAGATTTAGATTAGCTAGAAAACAGGAAATGGTTGGATTTCTTGTTTTCTAGCTAGTCTTTAGATCTTCAGCTCTGCTTTTAAGCACAGCCGAACCTCCCTTAGGACTGAAGGTTCTATTATTCAGTGCAGACTCACGGCAAGCAAATTTTATGTGACAGACTCGGGTAGCTGATGGCAGAGAGATAGATCTCTGAATGATTCTGTGAGCAACTCAATCTGCCTATCTGCTCTGCCTGATTTGGGGTAAAAGTTGCTCTTTTTTTATAAAAAAAAATCAATATTTACATACATGGTGCGTTGTGAGTTAATTTTGTGAGTTTGCTAGCAATTTGCTAGCAAATTTTATGAGCTTGTGTGTAAGCAAATTTTATGTGACTGACTCAGGTAGCCGGTGGCAGACAGATAGATCTCTGAATGAATCTGTGATGCTGTGAGCAACTCAATCTGCCTGCCTGCTCCACCTGATTGTGGGTAAAAGTTGCTTTTTTAAATAAAATTCAATATTTACATAAATATTTATAATATTTACATACAAGCCACGCCCAGCCAGTCACATAACCACCAAGCCACACATACAAGTTAGGCCACACCCACAGAACAGGTTGTTAAAGAAATTTTCATTACTCCCCCTTCTTATTCGGGTTACTATGATGAGGATTATCCTTATTCTGTTGCTTCGCCTGTACACGGAGTGCTTCTGTACCAGAGACAAATTCCTTGTGTGCATAAATAAAACATGCAATTACCCAAATAAAGCACGCAATTCAATAACAGCGGTGCTTTGCCCTACCTTGTCATTGATCAGGAGCTCGATGGGGTTGTTCCCCCACTCAATCAACACTACTTCGTTGGTTTGTCCTGGGACGGCGTAAGAGAAAGGGGTCCCGATTCCAGGAGAGGCGCCTGATTTCAGCCATAAGCAGACGGTGAAGGTGTAGAGTTCAGGCAGCGTTTTCTTGATCTTCCCGTACAAGTAGTTGGTGCGGAGAGGGAGGGAGACTTTAAATTCATCCGGCGCTTTAAAGGCGCTGGTACCTTAGGGCCAGAAAGTAAAAATGATCTGCATGTGACACAGGATAGTCCCTAATCGAGAGGCTTTTGGCCTGCTGATAATGGTCAGATAAGAGGAAGAAATTAGCTGGTTCTTCAGCTGCTAAAATTTCTTTTCTCTCCTTCCTCCATTTTTTTCCTTCCTTCCTTCCCCTTCCCTGTTCTCCTTCCTTCCCCCTTCCTTCCTTCTTTTATTTTTTATTTGATTTATTTGATTTGTCAATTGCTTAAAAGATAATAGGAATAAGTATAAACAGGAGTGAGAATACAGGAAATAGGTTCGAATAAATGGGGACAATAGGACAGGGACGATAGGCACGATGGTGCACTTACGCATGCCCCTTACAGACCTCTTAGGAACGGGGATGAGGTCAATAGTGGATAGTTTGAGGTTAAAGGAGTGGGGGTTAGAGGATGTAACAACAGAGTCAGGTAGTGCATTCCAGGTATTGACCACTCTGTTGCTGAAGTCATACTTTCGGCAATCAAGTTTGGAGCTGTTTACTTTGAGTTTGTATCTGTGGTGTGCTCTTGAATTGGTGCAGTTGAAGCTGAAGTTGTTATTGAGTGGTAGGACATTGTAGCAGATAATTTTGTGTGCTACACTTAAGTCCAACTGTGCACTGATGAGGTTGCCTCATTGCATAATTCCCACAACATTGCAAAACTATTTAGTTTAGACTGTATTAATATTACTCTTTCATCTTTCCTATTACCCATCTCCTTCTCTACTGATGACTATAACTTTGTTGCTCGTATCTTTACGATTTATATTGTTTTGTTTAGTTTCTTACTATGATTTGTGTTGATTGCTTATTTAGTATCCCATGGCTATCACTAAGTGTTGTATCTTATGATTTATGACGAATGTATTTTTACGATAACTATGATCATGGTTTTATCACTTATAGCTTTTATGTACAATGAGTGCTTATGCACCGAAGACGAATCCCTTGTGTGTCCAATCACCCTTGGCCAATAAAGAATTCTAAACAAAGAATATATTGGTAATTAGAGGAGGAGGAGGAGGAGGAGGAGGAAGGCAGTGTTAGCAATTAGGGAGGAGAGGCTGGCAGTGTAACCATGGAAGAGATTGCTCGGCTTCTGTGTCAGGAAAAAAAAAAAAAATTAAATTCTGTAAGCCCCAATCATCCCGTAGAAATCACATAAAGGAATGCAAATCCCTAAGCTAGCAAAGAATGTAGGTCAGAACTCCCCCTTTGACAAGCCAATATTTCTCAGTCGTGTCTCCGCTCTCCGCTCTCCCAACATCAATGCAAGGGAGCATATCACAAGGGGGTTGGAAGGATGACAGATCTGCTACGACAAAAGGGTTTGGGATGCTCAAGGGCTGTTCAGAAGTGACTTATTACTGTGAAGGATGCGTAGGGGCCCTTCGTTGCAAGATGCAAGGCATCGAAGGGAGGTGAGCTGTACTCTATAACTCAAAGGCAGCCTTTCTAGGCCCAGGTCCTCTCCAGATTGCGTTTCGGCTACGTGAAGGTCTAGAGGGTATGATTAATGATAAATAAATAACGATAGTGGCTCCAGAAGGACTACTGAAGCGTTGCCCTTTTATGTATGCAACACGCAAAAAATAAATAATAGAGTGCTATTTCAGACATATCAGCAGAGCCTCTGGTTTTTTTTCCCTTCTATATCCTATAGACACCCTTGGCTGTGTAGGGGTGAGAGTGTGTGTCTGTGCATACATGTGTGTTCTAAAACAATTCTTCATATTTAACGGGAAGGGAGGAAAATCTGGCCTTGGCTCACTTCATTAAAGTCATCAGTACCTTCAACCAGATAGATAGATAGATAGATAGATAGATAGATAGAGAGAGAGAGAGAGAGAGAGAGAGAGAGAGAGAGGATAGATAGATAGATAGATGATAGATAGATAGATAGATAGATAGATAGATAGATAGAGATAGGATAGATAGATAGATAGACAGACAGATAGATAGATAGACAGATAGGATAGATAGATAGATAGATAGATAGATAGATAGATAGATAGATAGATAGATAGATAGATAGATAGATAGATACAGATAGATAGATAGATAGAGACAGACAGACAGACAGACAGACAGACAGACAGACAGATAGATAGATAGATAGAGATAGGATAGATAGATAGATAGATAGATAGATAGATAGATAGACAGATAGATAGATAGAGACAGATAGATAGATAGATAGATAGATAGATAGATAGATAGATAGATAGATAGATAGATATAGACAGACAGATAGATAGATAGATAGAGATAGGATAGATAGATAGATAGATAGAT